GTAAGCTAGGTGGGGGTAGCAAACACCCCCAAACACCTCATGTTGTCGCGGATATTGGTGTTTTTTGTCTGGGGAGGGCTCTTAAAATGAAAACAAAGTGGGACGGTACCTACATGTAAAGGGCTTTGTGTTGCTTGCACATCCATAGGCTGGAATACTATTGAGAGAGTTTGTACGTTGGTTGTGTCTTTTTGAAGATGGCCTAAGGCTAAAAGCCTAAAATCCCAGTTGACTTGTCATTGTGACGGGTGGTACCCTTCCTTTTGGGTTACCAACACTAACGGGAGCCATGTGCTTTATCTTTAAGCCCCACCAAAAAAAAAAAAAAAAAAAAAAAAAGAGGGGAAAAAGAAAGAAAATTTTTTCCTTTTCCTCTCTTCCCTTTTCTCTTTCACCTTCGATGTTTCACAAAGGTCATATACATTTCTTTTCACTTTCTAATCAAGTATTAAAATGTATATATATAAGTTTTACACATTATAAAGTACCTAGATCTCTCTCGTAATTTTTTTATTTAATGATGAGTTTCTTTAATTAGAAAACAAAAAATTTTATTTAAAAGAATACAAAGTACTCTCACCCATATGTTATAAAGGTTCTTATTTTCAAATATAATTACACCCTATTTCAACCCATATAACCTTTTTTAGGTATTTGATTGAATATTTAGTATGTAAAACAAAAAGAAACTAATCCATTATCTAAAAACTCTAAAATTTTAACTACTCAAATTATGCCCATATAAAGCAAATACTACATGATCTAAATGCAAGATAATTGTAAGTCATCAATGAATTCCATAAGTATACCACTCTCAATGAGCACAAAACGATTACTAGCTTCAAAAATCCAATTGGGCTTACTAACTTCGTTTAAATTATGTATTTTAAGCTGAGAAAAGCATGCAAAGTAATTAATCAAACTATTGATAAAAATGCATTTTCTCACTCGTACGGGCAGGTTTCTAACCCTTCACCCTCTTACCCATGAGGTTTTCAACCAATTGGTATGTTCTATAAAAAAAAAAAAAAATTATTTATTCCAAGCTTAACACCTGCTTCAAGTAAAATAAAATGTTGGGGGAACTAAATCGGCCCACTTTAAATTAGTGGGCCACTTTCGGGCCTCAGATTTAATTATTGGGCTTAAACTGGGCCGTTTGTTATTATTATTTTCTTTCTGAAAAATCCTTATTAAACGACACACTGTTTCTACGTTTCGGCTCAATCTGTTTTACTTAATTTAAAATTTTTTAATTTTTCTTCCACCGAAAATTTTCCATCCCGACCACCAACCAGTCATGCTTTGAGAGCAAGTGACGCTCCACCTTTTCCAATGATTCACAGTAGGAAGCTAACGGAGCCAACCTCCAAACCGGCGACGGCTATGGCGAGAAACAGAAGCCGGAAGACGACGCTGATCTTCTTCTTTTTGCTCTCTGTTATGGCATTCTGCGCCTTTGTTCCGGTCTTCGCTCCTCTTCCTTCGCTGTCGTCCAACCCTCACCATCACCATCACCATCACCGCCACCGTCTTCATCATCGTGATAAAGTAAGTACTTCTTTGTGTCCATTTAAAATGTCAATTTATGCCGAATTTTGAACTAATGTCGAGTAATTGCATTTGGAACTTGGAAGTATAGTTAACCTAGCTGGTAGCTTATGTAGATGTATGTATGCTATGTAGGCTACCCCTTCGGGTAGGAGTATAGAGTTTAAGTAAGGAATAAGGAATTAG